GTGACCTCTGCAAATGCAAGGACTGGATGGAATATTTCAAAAAATGTCTCCACACGTCTCCAACACTCTGGATCACTAGGAAATGAGGTCCTGTGTCCAAAATTCCAGACTGTCCCTTTAAGACATTCCTTCTCTTTCTTTCTCTGAGTCAGAACAGCACATTTGTACCATTTCATACCAATATTATGCAGTTATAAACAAATACATGTAAATACAAACTATAATATGTACAGTTAAAAAGATCCACTTAGCTGGTTATGTGTACTTAGAGCTGGTGTGTTGCCATAGCGACAGTAATGCATAATGGAGAAAGTCGTTAGAATGACCCCAGAGGCTGTTAAACGCAGCTGAAACAGACTTGAATCGTCCATTAGCAGGTCAAGTGGGCTGTGAGTGTGTTTGACTTGTGGATGAGGGATTAACCCGGAGACACCAGGCACACAAACGCACTACTAAAGCTGCACTGTGTAACTTTTCTGGTGGAGTGCAGGTCAGATGCGAAGAAGAGTTGAAAATGTTGAAAATTACTGGAAGTAGAGAGTTCGAAAACATGGATGGCATCACACTGGGAGAATTCTATCCAAAATATATTATTTTAAACATTATTTCAACATTATTTGTGTTTATTTGTATTTGTCAGATAATATTTTCTGTGCACATTGAAGGAGTTTTGCTTGGTTATGGAATTTCCTAGTGTCATGTCTGATTTCCAACCAGGAAATAAACCTAAACTTAAACTTTTAAACCTACAAAAAAAAAAAATTATAAAAATTTTAAAAAATCGAAATTAGGAAAATAAGAGTGAATGTTTTTGCAAAAATCTTAAATGTAATGATCTTCAGACTGCAGCCTGAAGTGACCCAAATCCGATTTTTTGGCCCCTATTTTCCTGTATCTGATCTTTTAATGTCAGTCTGAACGACATAGATCCAATTTTTTCAAATGTGACCCAGGACACTTGGATATGTGCTCCTGAAACCGATACATATCTGATCTTTTGACATGTGACTTCAGTCTGAACGGCCAAAGTGCATTCATCCACCTACACGTTATCAACAAACCACAAACGTCACTATTCTGCGCTGAAGTAGGCGAAAATTGTTAATGAACTCTGTGTCACTGAAGTGAAGCACATCACCACTCACCACTCTTGGCTCCGTCTCCACATCCACACGTTCCTTTCAACGGACGTCGCTGCCGCTGCCCCACAAAACACCACGACCAAAAACCTCGTCCTTCTCCTTCTCAATCTCCTCCTTAAAACAAGTAAGTTGTTCATGTTCTGGCTCCGGTACGAGAGGAACTTTAAAATCTCCAGGTGCTCAATGCTCGCGTCCATGTTTGGACAACTTCTGTAAACACAGAGACGCTCGCTGCGGTTGACGTCGTCGTGTCTCCAGTGTCACATGTGGGACACTTTTGGGCCGTTTAATGTTCACACTGGAGTCACATACAAGTCACATTTAATTGGAAATGTGAACGACCTCGAAAAAACATCGGATTTCACAAAAAAATCGGAATTGAGCATTAAGCCCTGCAGTCTGAACGTAGCCTTAATTGTGTTTTAGTAAAATGAGTAGTGTAACTTGTCAGGCACTTTAAACTACAGGATAAAGCTACATCCACACGACAACACTCCTGGATCAAAAAATGTTGCGTCCACATATTTACGTCGGATCAATAAATATTCACGTCCAGATGAAAACGGAGCACAGAGTGAAACCGATGTAATACATACACCACACCTGTATGTGGCGCTGTTAACAGTGATAATAATATTTAATAATGCAGAGCTCTTCACCGCTTTTTTAAACTTTAAGGTAATTTAGCCGATTTTAGATTAAGCCCACAAATACAGCCATTTAGACATGCTGTAAATTAATAAAGGCATTTTATTTTAACCAGTGAGTGCCTTGGGTTTTTTGTATCTTTTTACTGACTTCCCTTCCCGAAGAGCATCACCGCGCTTCTTCTGAAACCTTTTTTACACAAATAGAGCTGTTTTAGTTAAACATAAGTTTTTCGTTTTTAGCCACAAGATTTGGATGAGAATTATTAGAATAACTTGGTCTGAAAATCCAACAGTTTAATTACTCGTGTGTAATCTTTGTTATTGATCCGTGTGTGTATTCTGTATTAGTGGGAGTGGGAGTGGCTCCGTGGGCTACACCTGTCCGATTTCAGTACTGCTGTTGCGGACCCCAAAGGCTTGTTCGAGGGCTGCGGCCTTCACTACATCATTGGACCTTGGCGATGATGGGATTGCGACGTCATCGTTTTCCAAAAGCTGCGGTTTGTTCGTCCACACGACAACGCGACGCCGGCATTCTCAGCTTTCTCTGCTCTGGAACCCGCCCACACAAAACTCCGACTCCGTGTGGACGAGAACGAATAAAACAAATAAAAACTTCACCGTTTCGACCAAAAAACTTCATGTGGACAGTCCCTAAGGATTTCTGTTTCTCTTTTTGACGGGGGCAGCAAACAGATACTTGAACTAATTTGCATATTTTGTTACGTTTCTTTTATTTTATTTCACTATTATATTTTTCTCTTGGGAAAAATATTGTTACTTTATACAACAAAATGTGAAGGATGTTTACCAAAGTAGAAAAATGGTCAGATAGAGTGTGCTTTTAGTGTCTTTTCTTTGTTTTTGGTCCTTGTTATTGATGCAAATTTCCCTTTACAGAAAACATTAAAGTTGTATATTTATCAGACATTACTTGTTTATGACCGCGTTAATTAAAAAAAAAAAAGTTCCTTCGTCCAAAACCACACCAGGAGTTATGTGGTTCATGTTTGCTGAAGTAGGAGCAGAGGTAGAAATCTGTTGTAATCTTTTAATCTCTGCAGCCGTCTGTGTCTGAAAACACCCGGCTGTTTGGGTCTTGAGGTTGTAAAATATGCAAATAATATGCAAATATGAGAAAATGAATGAAAAGCACGGAGCCTCCTCCAGACATCACGGAGACTGGGCGTGTGGCTTTCATTACAGGGGGGTCAGAATCAGAACGACCTGGTCACTTTATAGAAGAGGAAAACATTATTCATATTCACTTTTTCAACTAAAAACACATTTAATTTTAATAGAGAGCCATGGAAAACACTAAAGAACTGTGCTCACATTACTTAAACGTCCTATATTAAGCAAAATTGACTCTTGTGAGCTTTAAGAATCCGTGTAGTTGTTTTTTTCATTGTCTTGTTTTTGGTTTTATTTTGAAAAACAAATGACGAATGATACATGGATTATGGGAAACGGCCGTTATCCTTTTTTTTTTTTTTTTCCATTATTCATTTAAACATAAAAACTGAAAAAGCAAATCATTATCGTAATCATTTTTCATTTTGGTTTTGGAGACAAATAATGAAGAAAATAGTTGTTGTTTTTTTTCGTTTTCTTGGTTTTATTTTGAAAAATGAATGAATGAATGATACACGGATTTTTAAACTATGTTATAACCTCCTCAAAAACAGACCTGGAGTTCAGTTTTGCCTGAGTAATCTTTTATTATTAGTCTGTCTACATCTCCAAAGCTCAAAATGCTCTGTTCCACCTTGTGATGTCACGAAGCAGTGATTTTCAAGTTAACAGCTCCTTTTTACCTTTTGTTCTGTAGAGATTGTCAGTTTCAGAGCTGAAATTATCCATATTGATTCTAGTGAAGGTGTGTGGAGTTTAAAAACACAATGGGGCACTTCTTGTATTACCGCATGACATCACAAGGTGGTAACAGAGTGTTTTCTGTTTGAGAGAAAAATTTAACTAAATATGCAGGATTTGTGTGTTAAAAATGTGAATGAAACAAAACACAACTCCTCCAGGTCTGTTTGTAATGAGGAAAAAACATTAAAACATATAAACAGAAAATTAAAAATATATTAGTAGAAGATTTCATGATCAACGCTGCTTGTTCACACATTTATTAGTGTGCACTAGTGATGTCAAAAATATCGTGTTATTAACGAGTTAACGCAAAACTATTTTCACAGTGTTAATTTTTTTTTACGCAAACTAGTTTTTTCATAAGCTGTGGCCACTGCTGTAACGTTAGAAAAACTATAGGATCCAGAAAGCAAAACAATTTGTATGAAACTGAAAGTCCTGTCAGGTGTGCTGCTGTTACTCATATGAGGAAAACATGAAATAAAGTCGCTTCAAAACATACGGTGAATCTGCGCTGACCTTCAATAAGGACTGTGACAGAGACAGAAGTTTTACAGACTCTCTCTTGTGGCTGTTCTCTCTGCTCCGAGCTGTTTTTATCTCCATAAACTCACAGAGGAGAGTGTATCACAGCAGGACTCACATCTGTCTCACTATTTAACAGATTTTTCTGCCGCTGGACTTATTTTCTCCACTAAAAGTATTAGCTCTGCTGCTCCACATGTAAACAAACACCTCTGTGTGATGACGGCAATATTAAATACTTAATACAGCAACACTGGGGCAGACAAACACAGTCGCAAACACAGTAGCCATAAAAAAAAAAAAAAAAACATTTGCACAAAATCAATCTACTTTCCTATGTTGATAAGAGTATTATTATTCAACAGCGATTAATCATGAGTTAACTATGGTAAATGGTCACATTTTTCTATAGCGCTTTTCCACCTTCAAGGCGCTTTACAACAAGGAACCACTCACCCATTTCACACACACAGTGTACACAGACACTGTGGGCAAGGTGGGTTAAGTGTCTTGCCCAAGGTCACAACGGCAGCATTCATCTGTGGGAGCTGGAATCACACCAGCCAAACTGTGGGTCAGTGGATCTGACCGCTCAACCTGTGATGTTTATGTCGAGAGCTGGAATCAAACCACTAACCTTCAGATCAGTGGGCGAATGCTCCACCAACTGAGCTACTGCCGCCCTATGACATTTATGAGATTAATCTCGATTAAATATTTAAATCGATTGACAGCACTAGTATGCACTGTCCTCATTAAAATAAAATAAAAATAAATAAGCCCTTTCTCCCTCTCTCTCCTACAGGCTCCAGAGAGACGGCGTTCACTTACGCCATCAGTGCCGCTGGCGTGGTGAACGCCATCAGCCGCGCCTGCAGAGAGGGGGAGCTGTCCACCTGCGGCTGCAGTCGCGCCGCTCGACCCCGTGACCTGCCGCGTGATTGGCTGTGGGGCGGCTGCGGCGACAACGTGCACTACGGCTACAGGTTCGCCCGCGAGTTTGTGGACGCCCGCGAGAGAGAGAAGAACTACCCCCGAGGCAGCACGGAGCACGCCAGGACCCTGATGAACATCCAGAACAACGAAGCAGGGAGACAGGTACGAACGCTCAAATACTGTCCTCTTTACAAAAATGTTACAGTTAAAGGTGCATTGTGTAACTTTTCTGGTGAAACTAACACCCTACTAGTTTCAGTGTAGTTTCAGTGTAGTTTCAGTGTAGTTTCAGTGTAGTTAGCTCCTCTCTTCAGGCTTATATGAGGAAGTACACACTAGGGCGCGATCGATATTGGCACTTGGAAACATATCGGCTATCGGCCTAAATCTTGCCAATATTTCACCTGGGCATGTTATATCCTCGTTATAAAGCTTAGACTCTCTACATTATGTCCATTTAATCCAATTTACAGACAGATAAATGTCCTAATATGTGGCTCCACATCAGTATTTATCTGTGGAGTAATTTAACTGTGTGTGTGTGCGTACTGTCCCTGAACACACCCCCAGAGTCATGTCACTCACGTGTGTTTGTTTACACCGGCAGACACAGATCCATGTGCAACACTGAGATTATATTCTTTTTACGTGTTTTGAGTCTGGATTAAAAGACATTATTGTGAGACTTGTGATCTGAGAGGAGCCTGTGTGAGCAGTGAGTGTTTGAAATGTGTCTGTTAGAGTTTAGCTGCTGTAACTCCCACACATAAACAGGCTGTTTTCTCTTCTACTGGCCTATTGTAAAGGGACTATATTGGCCGTATATTTGTTACTGGACTTGCACTGATATGTAAATGAGCTGTGAATAGAGGTGTGAATGATCGACATTTACGCATATAATTAATTACCACAGTGCGCATGTATTTACAGCTAAAGGCTGATAGTGATAGTTTACTTTCTTTACTAACTGCTAGTATGTGATGCAAAACTGCCATTAGGCCAACCTACTGTCTGTAAATATGACGCAAAGAGTCAGAATAACAATAATTAAACAAACAAACCCAATTTAAAATCCACTAGAGCCAAACCTAAGTTTTTTAAACAATTCAAGATTTATTTATTTTTGCATCACTAAATATATCAGTTTTTATATCAGCTATCAGCAGCTTCAACTTCCATTTTATCGGTAGCGTATCGGCTGCGTCAAAATCCATATCGGTCAGGCTCTTGTGATGATCTGTGAAACGTATTCAACCAAGAGACAAAATGAATTTCTCCGTTTGCCCTGGATTCTACGTGAACAACTGAGAGATTTTACACACGATTGTTGATAAGTCTTGGCAAAAGTCAAACCCGAAACCTTTACTTTCTCACATGTTCAATGCAATGTAAGAATGAGCCCAATTCTGCATAACATCGCAAACATAGATCAGAAAAATCTGTTTTTGTCTTATGAATTTTTTTCTGGATGAAGGAATTTATGTATAAGTCTGTATCGAGTTTTGGTGGTTGCAGATAAGAATAGAGCATTTTCAAATCAATAAAAGGCAATGTGGTGATCTAAAATATGTTATGTGTAGCCGTTAATACCCCGTAGAATCTTTAATATAACTTTTAAACTAGTCCTTCTACTACTAAATTGTATGAACATTTAAAAACATTTTACTTATACTCCATCTTCTACAATCAAACAAAATTGTCAGTTTTTTGCGATCGATCGACGCGGCACAGACAGTTCGTGTAGTCCCGCTTCAGTCCCTGGTGGTCCTTCATCACCAGCCCGGGTTTGGACTGTTATTTATTGGGGAGGGTCCAAATGGTGTGAGGGCCGTGCAGCCCCTGGAGGTCACGGGGTCGTTCACATTCCTCCGGCCCCTCAAACCGGGACAAAGGCGGCCATGTTGGATTGGACAATGAGCAGCGCTGGAAAGTAACGGAGTACAAAAGTAAAAGAACAATTTTTAAGTTATACGGTGGATTTGAGAGCAGGCGTCTGTACTTTCCACTCCACTTTCCATTTTATATGTGGACTGACTTATTTTTAGCGCATAATTTGAGTTCATGTCCCAACTTTGAGCACGAAAACGCAAAAACAGACAGAAAAAAATGAAGAAATCAGCTGAATCACTTAAAATCAGCTAAATTCGTTATCAAAATCACCACATTTGAATCTTTAATAGTTCGAAAAATTTGCAAAATGCTTACTTGCTTACTCATTTTTACTCTTAAAGTACATTTTTCAACATTTACTTCAATAATTTTACTTAAGTAGATTTTTTCATGTGATACTTTTACTTTTACTTGAGTAATCTTTCGCATATTTTTACTTGAGAAACAAAATTACAAGCAAAAGTACTTCATCCGCCATTAGACAAAGAGGTTTAGAGGCGCATGGAAGAAACTGGAGCCTGGACAGTGGTTGAAGGATTGACGGATGAAGAGAGAGAAAGAGACGGAGGGAGAGAGAGAAGGAGAGAGAGAGATACCTGCAGATGGATGAGATGGTCGGGTTACTTTGCTCAGATTTCTCAGGTTTGGTCGAAACAATGGGTCCCAGTGAGAAGGGTGTGTTCCACTAAAACACTCAAGGCTGGACAGAACCTGCACCCAACTGATGTAGTGTGGGTGACTCTCTTATTTTATCTGCTTTTTTTTTAAAGCTTGTGTTGTTTTTGAGCTTAAGTTGGTGAATAGTTAATTCACCAACTTTGACCTTTTATTATTACAACATATCTGAGTTGTGTTTCATTTTATTTTGTATCTGTAACACATTGCTCATTAAAATTCACATACTCATTTCCACTTTGTTTACTGTTGTGCTGAACCACAAAATGGACACAGACAGACGCTTGAGTTTGACGTCGTGGCTTCACAGCTCTTCACTGATTGGCCGGTGCACGGTTTATAACTTCCGGGGTTTTTTCAAACCTTCTAGTGTTTTCTGATTCCTGACCTAGTCGCCTGAGAGAAATGAAATATTTAATTAATTAATTAATTAATCATTGCATTCATATAGCGCCTTTCAAGATACCCAAAGAGCTTTACAGTTCATTCATTCATTCACTCAACACTCAGTGGTGGTAAGCTACTACTGTAGCCACAGCTGCCCTGCGGCAGACTGACGGAAGTGAGGGTCTCAATCTGCACCATCGGTCCCTCCGACCACCACCATCACTCACACACACACCACTTTCATACTAGGCAATGTGTGAAGTGTCTTGCTTAAGGACACAACAACATTTTTTTTTTTTTTTTTGCCACTGGCGCCCCCCTGTGGCACCTGGAATTCCCAGCGATCTCCCATCCAAGTACTGACCAGACCAAACCCTCCTGAGCTTCTGAGATCTGACAGGATCAGGCTTTGACACGCTGGTATGGACACCTACATTGAGTGAAGGCACTAGGTGGCACCAGCCTGGTGAAACATCGACATCATGAAATCGATTTTAAATTTTAATTATAGAATCAGTCTGAGTTCACAAGTTATTTATTAACAAACTACTTGTTACTTTTGTTTTATTCATGACCATAATGTTAGTTTTGCTCAGGAGTAGTTCACTAATGCGTCGTCATTGTTCACCTTTACCTTTCTTACCCTGATGGTTGTGGATAAATTCTTCATGTTTATCCTTTGTCGACCTTGTTGGTTAAAGATTTGGTGATGGGGCAGATTTATGAAGCTGGTGGAAAATACACGAGACATTTTCATAGATATTTTGCCATAGAAAACCATTAACCATTTCCCCTACATCACAGCACTTGACACAGAGTATGACGAAACATTTCTTTCTTTCTTTTCATTCACATTTTTAAACATTTTATACTATTAAAAATAAATTGTTTTCAGTATTAATGTTCTGAACGTAAACTTTACAGATTATTACTCAACAAAAAAGGCTCCAAAGTCTTCAAATCACAACCACAGTGGACCATCTTTAAAATCAAACGCTTTTGTGTAAGTAAAATCCAAATTGTGAAGTCCATAATGGCGTCTCTCTGAAGCGTGAGTGTTCTTGCTTTCACCTTGGCCCTCCCCTTTCTGCTCGTAAAAGCTCCATTTGTGCGAGCGCTGCGGAGTGAAGCGACCTGTTTGTGTTCGGGGGCTTTACGAGTCCTCTGCGCGTGTGTCTGTTTACGGCGTGTGCGTCTGCTTTCGGGGTCGAGCGGGGACAGGTCAAAGGTCGCAATCTGGAGAACCTCCCACTGGGGCTGTGAAGAGGGGAAACTACTGCGTACCACTACTACTGATACTACTACTGGTACTGCATCTAGTACTTACTGCTGCTCGTGTTGTATTGTAGCGGCTTTTGTTTAGTACACACTGCTACTGCTGTTAGTACTATTATACTACTGTTGCTACTACAAATACTATTACCACCACTCATTATCACACTTATTTACTACTACTACTACTACTACTACTACTACTACTACTACTACTACTACTACTACTACTACTGCTGCTGCTGCTACGGCTACTGTTACTGCTACCTGTACTACAATTATCACTATCACAGTTTCTATTACAATTACAAAAACTACATCTTACTAGTACTACTACTTTTTAGTATGGCTTTAAGTGTTGGAAAGTACAACTTACTGATGCCACTGCTACCAATACTACTACTACTACTACTACTACTACTGCTGCTGCTGCTATTACTACAACTGCTCCTATGATTAAAACACGGTAGTACTATCTTACTGCAACTGCTACAACTACTGCAACTCCAGTTACTCAATAACAGTTACTTCTAAACTACTACTCATGCTACTACTGCACGGGTACAATAACTACCATTACTACTACTGCAACATTAACTTCTAATGCAGTGTACTCAGTACTTAGTGTTCTACAACTTTTTCTACCAGTGTATTTGTACTACTACTACGACGACTACGACAATGACTACTATTACTACTACTACTACTAGTGCTACTACTACTACTTCTACTGCTACTAATGCACTGTATTCAGTACTTAGTGTTCTACAACTTTTTCTACCCCGTACTTGTACTACTACTACTACTACTAGTACTACTATTACTACCACTACTAGACAATAGAGGCATGGTCCAGCATCTTGTCAACTGTTGTCTTGGTTGTTTTTGTAGAACAGCGAATATGTTCTATTACTACGCTACTACTATTACTACTACTA